ATCAGTTCCTCAGCACATGCTACCTCTTGAAATGGTTGACCATTGATCATTTCTTTTTGGTACAGTGATTCTGTATTCCCTCCATCTTCTTTTGATGCTTGCTGCATCATAAACTATTTTGTCCATAGAATCCTTCAATATTGCAAATTGAGGCTTAAATTTTTTCTTCAGTTCTTTCAGATACATAAATGCTAAGTGTGTTCTTCCCTCCAATCCTTTGCCTATTTCATGATAATATTTGACTTTGTCTTTGAAATTTTCGGTTCTGCTAATTGATTTCTCAATTAGCATCTCTATGCTGTAAAGCAATTTTCAGAGTCTCTTCTGCCATCCATTTTGGTTTTTCCTTTCCTTATTTTTAAAGGACTTTTGCTCTATTTGTGCATAAGGTTCTTCTGTTGCTCTTGTGGTCTGTGGTCATTAGTGTTGAATACACCCAATCTGTCCTTGAGATGGTCTCTAAATTCAGGTGGGATATGTTCAAGGTCATATTTTGGCTCTCTTGAACTTGTTTATTTTCTTCAATTTCAGTCTGAACTTGTATATGAGCAATTGAAAATCTGTCCCACAGTCAGCCCCTAGCCTTGATATTGAGCTTTTCCACCATCTCTTCCCCCAGATGTAGTCAATTTGATTCCGGTGTAATCCATCTGATGAGGTATATGTTTATAATTGTGTTTTATATTGTTTTAAAAAGGTATTTTCAATGAATAAGATATGTCTTACAAATTTTATCATGCAATTTCCAGTATCATTTCTGTCACTGAAGCCACATTTTCCAACTACTTACCATTCCTTTTTGTTTCCAACCTTTGCATTCTAATTGCCAGTAATTATCAATACATCTTGATTGTTTGTTTGATCCATTTTAGACTGAAGAAGTTGGTAGATTCTTCAGTTTCATCATCACTAACTTTAGTGGTTGGTGCGCAAATTTGATCAATTGTGGTATTAACTGGTCTTCCTTCAATTTCATCATCACTAACTTTAGTGGTTGGTGTGCAAATTTGATCAATTGTGGTATTAACTGGTCTTCCTTATAGGCATAGGGGTATTATCCTATTACAGACAGCATTGTAATACTTTTATTTATGATGAATGTTATGACATTCCTCTTTAATTTGTCATACCTGGCATAGTAAACCACAGGACTGTCATATTCAAAATGCCCAAAACCAATCCATTTCAGCTCATTAATGTCTAGGATATCGAACTTTACACATTCCATTTCATTTTGACAACTTACAATTTTCATAGTTTCATACTTTGTACATTCTGTGTTCTGGTTATTAATAATTATTTACAGCTATTTATCCTCATTTTGAGTGGAGTCCTAGAAGCAAATGTAGATCTCAAAAGCATTACTCCACTCACATCACCACGGTCAGCTCTACTTTGAGGAGGCACCTCTTCCCAGTCACTTTTTGAATGCCTTCCTTCCTGAGGAGCTTGTCTTACTGGCAGTACATGTAACAACATTCCACTGATAGTCACAGGTTTTCAGGGGCTAAACATTCAGAAGTAGTCTGCCTCTCCTTCTTCCTAGTCAGTGTTAGTCTGTAAACTCAGCTTAAACCTGTCCACCACGGTGACCCTTCTGTTATTTAAAATACTGCTGAACCATCTTCCTGTATAACAGCAACACACAGGCCACCACAGTATGAAAAACTGAAAGATATATGGAAAAAAGAGAGAAGCAAAGAAGTTGAAGGTATATGCTAAGTGGATGATTGTGATGATGAAAAAATGAACAAAATACAATAATAAGGTCAATGGATTTGAAGATTTGATACAATCAAGATACTAGCAGTAGTGAACTAAAAAGATAGCAGGGTCAGCGAAGAAGACTTTTAACAAGATGGACTGACACATGGCAGCAACAATGGGCTCAAACATAACAACATCTGTGTAGATGGTGCAGGACAGGGCAGTGTTGTGCACAGGGTTGCCATGAGTCAGAACCAACTTGATGGTACCTGATGACAACAACAACAGTGATAGAAAATTTCTCAGGGGGTACAGTTATCACAATGACAGGGTCTATAGTAACCAAAAAAGCAAAGACAAAACTCATTGCAAATTGTAAGACCAAGTAACTGACAGACCAGTCTTTCACACACAAATGAATGCAGGAAGAGAGAGTAAGGTACTCAAATTGCTCCAAGGAATAAGGAGGTTAGTTTGATGGCATGTCTCCAGAATCACTGAGAGCTTTAACTTTAGACAGAACAACTGTCTGAAGGCCATCTACCCTACCATAGGAAAAGCAGTGTCTTCAGGAACAAATCAAATTTCAGAGAAAGAAAGAAGGTGAAGAAAAAGACCAAAGAGGAGGTAGAGAATACTGGGGGCTTCAACAACTAGAGGGTGCAGGAGAAAGATTTATGTACTAGAATTCAAGACCACATGTGACAGTGCTTCAAAAAGTTTGCGGAAGAATTCCATTATCTTTTCATTCCATTTTTCCACAAACGTCTTGAAGTCTTCTCATATGTAGTTGAGAGGGTTGTATTATACCTGGACAATGAATAAGGAGATCAAAAAATAATTGGTATATTTCAATTATGGTGGCAATGAAGAAGACTGAATATACCTTGGACTGTCATAAGAACAAATTTGTCTTTGAAGAAATACAGCCAGAATCATCCTTAACAGCAAGAATGGCACAACTTTGGACATACTATCAGGAGGGAGTAGTCCATAGAGAAGGACATCATACTTGGTAAAGTAGAGGGTTAGTGAAAAAGAAGAAAGCCCTTAATGGACTGGATCAACACAGTGGTTCCAACAGTGGACTCAAACACAGAAGCAATTGTAAGAATGGCAGAGGACTGTGTATTGTTTTGTTTTGTTGTACATGACAATCCCTGTAAGTTGCAACTGACTCGATGGCACCTAACACAACAATAACAGAGTATTTCCTGTAAATACAAAAGAGAAGGCTGTAGGAACTGAAGTCAGAGAATGTGGTCTAGGTAATGTGCTAAGCAGTAAATAAAACACCCTTGTGGTCCTTTGGTCTCCTTTGGTGACTTAAGAGTACCCCCTCCCAGATTTACTCACAATAAACCTGGGAGGGGGTACTCTTAAGTCACCAAAGGAGACCAAGAGCCCGTTTGTTCTCTTACAGACTGGGGTATTTAAGGCAGTGTGGTCTGGGTACAGTTCTGGCGAGTTTACAATGGGCAGGGGTATGGAGATTTTCCTGAAACATGGAATTACCAGGGGAGAGGGTCTCCAGGTGTAACAAAGACCCAAGCTTCCCAGGAGACTGGAAGGTCAAGCAGGCCCCCATTCAGTGCCAATTGGGGGTAGTTGCAATGCCATTCTGTTGATCAAGCGCAAGGTCCTTCAATAACCAATATGTCAGATGTTTTATATGATGATAAAATTATAGAAACAAAAAAAAAAAATGGATGGACAAGAGATTGGGAGAACAGGGGTATTATTTTTTATACAGATGAGCAGCTAAGGTCTCGCTTGACAAGGATGTTTCATTTACTGCCCATCCCAATACCTAGAAAAGGAAATCATGTTTTATAAAGTCACTGAAAACAAGGGAAAACCCTCAATTACATGGACTGACACAAGAGTTACCACAATGGACTCAAACATATCAAAGAGCATGAATCTGGTGCACGACAAGGTAATGTTTCTTTCTGTAAGGTCACCATGACTTGGAGCCCACTTGGTAACAACCAATAGCAACAAACACAACAGCTCATCCCAAGCACATAGCAGGCATTCAGTAAGTATTTGTTGAACAAAAGATTGACCGAATGGTGCCCTGCAATGCCCGTTAGAAAATGGTCATCTGTCACTTAATGGGCCTGGTTCGAGGCCAAGGTCAACATCAGCCAACTGGTTTAATCCCCACATGACACGTTCACCATCCCCATCCTCCTGCCTCAGCATGGGCCAGGTTTGGGTCCAGACCCAGATCTAGCTGATCTGAAGCATGTGGACACTGTAAGAATTAACAGCTCATGTCAGAAGATGTTTGCAGAAATAACACACTTTAATTTAAAATGATTATTTACAAGCTCGCTCTTCATGTGTTTCCCCACTAGGTTCATGACTACCTCCGCAGCAAGTTGTGCTCCCTCTACGAAAATGACTGCATTTTTGATAAATTTGAGTGTGTGTGGAATGGGTCAGACAGGTAAGGAATGCTTGGAGACTGGGAAACTTCAAAAGATGGGTCCCCTCCTGTGGGTGATTTTATCCCAAGCAGGGTATAGCTGAAGGGACCTTAAAATCAGGCCCCAAGTCCTGGGAAGAGATACATTCTGTGAATTACTGGGTGACTTATGAGGTCAGACCTAGGAAGGTGGGAAGGCTATAGTAAGACTCTGGAATCCTCTTTCTGGACTGACACATGTAGTGATTTAACATTGACCAGAAAGTAATATCTTTTACATTCAAAACACTCAGAGCTAGCTCAACATGCTTAAAATGAAAATTAGTAATAATCCACTGGAAAATTCCATCCTGGACAAGTCAAATGAATGCACTCAAAATGTGCTTTCTCCATCTAAAACTATCCCTTGAAGTTGCTTGTGTAGACTTGGCTACAGGCCCTGGTGGTTCATTAGCCATATTCTAGTTGGCCTCATTTATCACATTCCCTGAAAGTGATTTATTACTGTTTTAAGGCCTTTGATTTCAACAATACTTCATACAACCTCCCAATAGTTCATTTTTAGTTTGACAAATACAGATGATTCTCTGACCTCATGAGAACTAAGTACAGGCTACTAGGGGCTGATTTAGTTCTATGGTGAAGGTAGCACCAAGAGCAGAACCTGGAAACACGGCAATACCGCATCTTAAGGCACACAGAGATTTGGGTTCTAAGTAGACCTGTACTGTCTCTCATTGTTTGCCTTTCTTTACCATGGAACTAAAATGAACCTCTCAGCAGATCTGGAAGGAATCTTCACCTGACCAGGGCTCAAATCCCACACAGGGCAGAATGAAGAGAGAACAAAAGCCCTCAAGGAGAAAAGTAGCCAACACTAGCTTGTCATTGTAGAAAACTAGAACATCTATTGGTCCCTCTGCTCAAATGTCCCCTCTTATCTTAGCCTAGACTTTATGTATCTTTATGTCCACCATTTTACTGATGCAAACCACAATCCCACTGAATTGTTTTCATCATCCCTTTTCCACAGTTGAGTAAACTGAGTCTCAGTGAGATAAAATGAATCCTCTCAAACTCATAAACTAGTCTCATAAACTAATAATTAGTAAAGACAAGAGTAGGAAGTTTTGAGTTTGAATCCTAAGATGATTCTTTTCATTACATCAGAACTAGAAAATGAAAGTACCGTGAGGCTCTTCTGTTCACTGCTCATCCCAAACACGTTGCAGGCATTCAGTAAATGCCTGTTGAATGAATGGTGGTTGGTGGTGGTTATGTGCCGTGGAGTCGGAACCGACTCATAGCAACCCTGTACAGGGTTTCTGAGGTTGTAAATCTTTACAGGAGCAGAAAGCCTCATCTTTCTCCCACAGAACAGCTGGCAGTTTTGAACTACTGACCTTGCAGTTTGCAGCCTGATTCATAACCACTACACTACCCCTCTAATACCTACTGGCAAATCAGCTTAGAAAATAGGCATCTAGCACCTTGGTGTGGCATTATGGGTTAATGCGCCAGACTGCAAAGCTGTTTGAACTGCAAGGTCGATGGTTCAAGGTCACCAGCTCCTCCTTGGAAACCCTATACAGGGTCGCTATGGGTCGGAACTCACTCGACGGCACTTAACAACAACAACAACATCACTTAAGAAGTCCTGCTCTACTCATTTAGTCCCCACATCTCTCCCCCTTAATGTCCCACTATCTAGAGATTTGGTTTAGGTAGTGTTGAGATTTTTCCAAAAGACACTTTATCTTAAAGAACAATCAGATCATAGGTAAGGGAAGGGAATCAATGAGGTAAAGTAACTATCTGCATATGCCCTGGAGTCAGCCAGATGGAGGTTTGGGTCTCAAGTTTGCCACTTACTGACAGTGTGACATTGTACAAGTTACTTACTTCTGCTCATTTGCAAATACCTTTTATGGGATATTGAAGTTTAAAGTCCTGGTGTGGCACTGTGGGTTAATGCACCAGACTGCAAAGTCATTTGAACTGCAAGGTAATCTGCTCCTTGGAAACCCTATACAGGGTCACTAGGGGTCGAAGTCCACTTAACAACAAAGTTTAAACAATGCCACAGAGATAAAGAGCTCAGCACAGTGCTGGACACACTCATCACAGTTTTCTCTGGTACAGACACAAACATTTTACAACATAGGTGTCTTGGTCCAGGATAACAAAATCTAGCCCTTGATGAATTTGCTTCACACAGATGATCAAGTGACTCAAAACGTACATATCACCCTTGCTGCAGCCCAATTTTGTCAGCTTTCCTTCACCTCTCTACACAACTAAAATCACGGAGAGAACAGATGGGTTGCTGTGCATCCCCATGCTACTCAACCAGCAAAAGCTTTCCCCAGAAATGAGCTCAGCACTCCAGAAAGCAGCCACCAGGCACTGTTATTGGAGGAATTCTATCCCATCTCCTGTCCAAGGACTTCCTCTCCATCCTTCAGCCTGTCACCATGTCTGAAATGTCACTACTAAAGATTTGTTCCCTTGTTCCTGGAAGCCTTTTGGCATTCGCGGATCCATTGTAGATACCCCTGAGAATGGATAACTCCTTGCAAATTTATAGAAACCATCTGTTAGTCTACTACAAAATCTTCCCTTTCCCCCTTCCCAGTCCTTTAAATTTTTTCATTTGTTTATGCTCTTCCCTAGTTAGCGTATGATGACATCCATTTCTACAAACGTGTTCTGAAAAGGCTAGTTCTTAGAATGGAAGCAGACACACCATGGGTCACTGAACTATGCTGTCAAAATTCTCCCACCATGTGGATGCAATAAAGTCCTAGAAGTCCGACAATGAGGGCTCACCTCTATGGCAACTGTATTTTCAGTTTGTACAATGATTAGTCGTTCAATTAGTTTTCAAAAATGTGTCAACTTTCATAACCTCATTCTAATCTCACAATCCTCATGTGAGGAGGGTAGGGATGATGAAATCCTTTAAGTCACTAGACTTGTTTACTGACTCAAGAACCAAAAGGACTCAACCAAACAAATAAAAGGCGGGTTATCATGCTCATTCATTAGCAGCCCCTGCTTGCTGCTCCTTACTCTTAGTGACTCAAAAGAAAGCCAAACCTTCACACAACAAAATCTTTTTTTTAAATAATAAAATTATACGACCATAGCTTTTGTTGTTGTTGTTGTTGTTTAAATAATACAACAATGATACCATAAACTAGGTTCCTGAGTGGTGCACATGGTTTGGGCTCGCCTGCTGAACTAAAGGTTGGTGGTTCCAACCCACCCAGCAACACTGCAGAAGGAGGGGCTGGCAATTTGCTTCTGTAAAGATTACAGAAAATCCCATGGCCCAGGTCCACACTTTAACACTGGGTTGCCATGAGTTAGAATCAATTAAGTGGCAACGGGTTTGGTTTGGTTTGGTTTGGGTTTACCATAAACTACTTATAGTGTGGTATCACGTGTGCGAAAAGGGCACCTAGGGATTTATCACTACCTCACTCACCCCGTTTCCCCTCTGCCTTACAGCGTCATCATGACTGGCTCCTACAACAACTTCTTCAGGATGTTCGACCGCAACACCAAGCGCGATGTCACCCTTGAGGCCTCGAGGGAAAACAGCAAACCCCGGGCTATCCTCAAACCCCGAAAAGTGTGCGTGGGGGGCAAACGGAGGAAAGACGAGATCAGTGTTGACAGTCTGGACTTTAGCAAAAAGATCTTGCATACAGCTTGGCATCCTTCAGAAAATATTATAGCAGTGGCGGCTACAAATAACTTATATATATTCCAGGACAAGGTTAACTAGGAGGACAAGTTATTACTTAATAATCTCACATACTGAATACTAGACATGTTTTTAAATGTTTCTTTGGGTCTTCATTTGATGCATTGACTTTAATCTCCCTCCGCAGAAAACAATTGGAATAGAATTAAAAGGAGTTCAACTTTCCAACCCCCAGTCCTAAGAAACTTTTGGTCAAACTCAGTAGGTTTGGGACACTTTTGTTTAGAATTGAGAGCTGCCAGCTAACAGTAATTCTCCCATAGTTGACTTGAATTTCTGATGCTTTGATTACCCGGTTTTCTCTGGTGGGTCCAGTGTTTTGTTCCTAGGTGTCTGCTGAGATAAAATGAGGTTGTCTGTAGTACTTAAGGAGAAAAGAGATAAGTTTTTTTTTTAATTAAGCAATTCCATTTGATTGAAAAATCAACAAAAAATAAACACCGTTTACTCTACTCTTAGAGAACTTCTTATTTTGTGAGAAATCAGAATTAGTCAGCATTGCCTCTTTCATCACTGGTTTGTTTTTTTCTTCCCTCTTCCATTTTCTTGTGAACAATTCCATTTTGAGGCAGAGATTTATTTCTCTTCATGAGGCTGAGAAAAGGACACAGAATGAGAAGGGAAGGGGCCTACCAACACTGCTTATATTCTCTTTTTGTAAGAGCCATAGAGACGGCCAGAGTATTTGGCTAGGAAATGCCATGAATGCTTTGGGGAACATAAAGCGAACACTTTCCCCACAGTGCTTCTCAGAGTCAGCTTGGCGAGGCCATGTGGGGCCAGATTCCATCTGCTGCTTTTTTACATTTGTTTTTTTGTCCTTTTAAATGGCTCTGTATAATGCTCTACTTAACACGTTCATTGACTTTTTCTCTTCAACCTTTCCCAGCTTATTTATACCAATGATTTCTAAAAGCTAAGTCTTGTTTGCTTATTCTCTGGTGCTCTAAACAAAGCAGTACGTTTGAGGCAGTGGCACCAACCCGCTTTTTGGGAAAGGTTGATCTGTCTCTGGGTGTGTCTCCTGAGAAATCCCCTCCCATCCTCCTGGGCTTCATAACCACAGATAATAAGCCCATTAACCTCCATTGTAGCTAGAAACAAAGATGGCTAATAAGAATGCAGATGTGTACAGTAAATCAAGCACTTCTAACGCACTCAGCCCAAGTTCCCCAACAGGAGAAAGACACAAGAGGACTCTCTCCCTTGAAATACAGAATCTGGAAGAATCAAGATGCTCTGACATTGGAGTGAAGCTGCTTGAACCTGAGGAGACTTGTTCATTCCCTCTCCCCCACATTGGGAATTACTTCTTAGCAGCCCCTTTCAGTGAGTGCTATATGGAATACCTCTAAGAAGGAGACTAGATGAATTTAAAGGGTTTATAAGACAGGTGATCTAGAGAGGAGGTGGGCAGTACCCAAAAAGATGGATTTAGTGTCTCCATATCTAAAGCTAATTTGTCATACTAACTCATTTCCCCTAATTTACATTTAGTGAATGGAAAGTGTCTTGAGACAAGAATGTTTTGTTTGTTTGGTTGGCTGGCTGGTTTTCTACTTATAGAACTTTTTCCTTTCAGCTTGTGGGTATATTACAAGTCCCAATGTTCAAGTGAAATTTATTTTGAAAAAGAAGAAAAATTGTGAAGACACCCTATAGTTCAATGCTATCCGTGTAGACAGATTTGGGGCAAGGGAAAAAAAACCTCTGACTTAAGTGAATACAGTTTTGTAGGATGCAGCCTAATTTTGGAAACCCTGAAACATGAACAGATACATCTCATAATTGAGGAAGCATCCTAATTAAGATGTGGCTTTCTCTTTCACTTTCCCTGCAATGAAAGCCTCTCTTCAGACAGCTCAAGTAAAGTGACCCAGGTGGAAACTCTCTTGGCAGGCAGCCTGCTCTGACTTCGGACAGTGTTCTTGGAGGACACAAGAAAATGTCAGAAATTTCTCCAACTCACAGATAATGTTGACAGGGTTGAAGCACAAATGCGTTATTGCCCAAGTTTACCATCAGCTTCCTCTATGATCTGTCTCCCACTCCTCTTGCACCCAAGTCCACTGTCTCCACCAGGTGGGGTTTGGGATGGACACCTGTTTCTCAAACTTAAGCATCAGTTCACCTCTGTATTACTTTTCATTTATATCAGGCTGCTAATCTCAGGGTCAGCAGTTCGAAACTACCAGCTGTTCCGCAGGAGAAAGATGAGGCTTTCTGCTCCCGTAAAGATTTACAGCCTCAGAAATCCTATACAGGGTTGCTATGATTCCGAACCGACCCCACAGCCCATAAACACCACCATCACATGACCTTTTTAAAGCAAGATATAACCTACTCCAAAGAAATAATATTCATGAAATGTCAGGTTTGATGCACCACTTATTTTTCCTAACATTAAAATAATCATATCGCCATTAATAAAACAAACGTGTTCGTGCACCACCTAAAACCTTCTTGTTAGCCACACAGAGCTTGCTTAACACACTTTGAGATGCTGGTTAACTGATGTTACAGAACATTTAAGCTTTTGGATGCATAAAAGAGTCATGATGGATCTGTACTGAAGTCAAGATTGCTCCCCAGAACACAGAAAAGAACAATTATGGTCACAGAGCTGCAGACCATCTGCAGGGCATCTGTGGACTCCAATTGAAAGCCCTTGCTCTAGTCCATGAAGTCAAGGGTTTGCTCTCAACATGGTGCTGTGGGATAATGCACTAGGCCACAAGGTCAGAGATTCAAATTCACCACCTGCTCCTTGGAAACTCTAAATAGGGGCGCTATGTGTCGGAACCAACTTGACTGCACTTAATAACAACAACTAAAGTTTGGCAGCTTGAATCCACCCAGCAGTCCCATGGAAGAATGGCCTCGTGATCTGCATTCATAAAGATCACAGCCAAGAAAATCCTATGGAGTCTCCATAAGTCAAATTCGACTCAACAGCTAACAGATTTGGTTTGGTTTGTAGTTACTCTAGTCCAACCTCCTTAGCACAGAGATGTACAATCTGAAATCCAGAGACTAGAAGGAATTTCCCCAAGACTATAGCACTAAAGCAGTGGGAATCCATCAAGAAAAATATCTCAAGACTCCTAGACAGGAGCAGGAGAGGTCAGGCCATAGAGATTAGCTCTCAGACAATGATAACCACCAGCATATTTCACCAATTAACTGCTTTGTGCCAGGTACTAAATTAGGTGTTTTACCTTTGTGATCTCCTTCAGCCCCAGTACTGGTGATATATTTCATGGTTGGTGGCACATAGAAATCAGTCTCCTTTCCAGCTGACACGACATGCCACTTGAAGACATATTTGTCCTTTAATGTTTTCGAGAGTTTGTTTTGGGCTCTTAGGACTCTAAATTACTGGATACTGCAAGTTCTGCTGCTTGGTATGGCTGTTGTTAATATCAGCCATCACTTTCCAAATGGACGGTGTCAGCTGACTTCCAGGGAAAAGGAGAGCCACACCTTCTGAGCTTTTATCAAAACCATCCTAATGCAGCATTCTTTCAGCTTCTAACATTTAAAAATAAGCAATTCAAAAGCTGAAGTTTGGCAGATATCCATGTTTTCTTGTGAGGAGGAGGAATATGAAGTGGAACAAAAAAGGCAAGCCAGCATGAAGTATTGTGACATATAAAGGTAGATAAACCATAGGAACCATTTTGCTTAACTCCTTCAAGTCTGGTTTCTGCCATCTCATTTACTGGGGAAGGGGAACTTTAAACCCCTCATTGTTCTTCTGTTCAACCCAACAATATCAACATGTGCTATAAGAATTATTATATTGTGGGTTATATTACATTGTGAGTTAATGCACTCGACTGCAAGGTTGGTTTGAACTGCAAAGTTGGTGGTTCAAGTTCACCAGCCACTCCTCAGAAACCCTATACAGAGTTGCTATGAGTCGGAACCGACTCCACAGCACTTAACAACAACAACAACACACATATATGTGTTGTTGTTAAGTGCCGTGGAGTCGGTTCCGACTCATAGTGACCCTGTACAGGGTTTCCAAGGCTGTAAATCTTTACAGGAGCAAAAAGCCTCATCTTTCTCCTGCGGAACAGCTGGTAGTTTCAAACTGCTGACCTTGTAGTTCACAGCCTGATTCATAACCACTATGCTACCAGAGCATGCACTCTCTTGCTCTCTAACTGCTGACCTTATGGTTCACAGCCCGATTTGTAACCACTACGCTACCAGAGCTCCTTATATAGGAACCCAGGCATGGGAGGCAATTGCTGTACAAGTTTGAAGGTAGAGGGACCATCATGAAACTAAAGTTCTTTTAGTTCAGTGCCCCAATGAGTCAGTCATCTCCAGTGTATTTCTTTTGAACATCCCAGGGTCCATTTTAGTAAACGATGCTTAAATGCTAACTGGCCACATGTCAGATGATTTTCTACCTTCAAACTTGTAGAGCAATTGCCTAAAACTTACCTCCACCACTTCCTCCCATGCCTGGGTTCCATTCTTTCCTCAATGCCTTTGCTGACTAATCTTCAGGGCTTAAGGAAAAAACCTGTTGTTGTTGTTGTTGTTAAGTACCATTGAGTCAGTTCTGAGGACTCCAAGGAAAACCCTGTTTTTAAGTACCACCAAGTCAATTCCTACTCATAGTGACACATACAGTTTCCAAAGAGCATGGTAAGTTTGAATAGCCAACCTTGTGGTTCAAACCAACCTTGTGGCCCAGAGGTTATTCTAAAGCATCACACCAGGACTACAAAAAAACCATAGTAGGCCTGAAAAAGAGGTTGATACTACAGTCTGGTCTTAACAAGGGAGACTTTCCTTTTTTGCCTTCTTCCATGATGGAATGAAACATGTATTTTAGACAATAACCCAAAGACACCATGGAGAAACACGTATACTGAAGCATAATCTATTGTATATCTATTACTATCTATTATTTTTGTTCAGCGCCACTAAGTTGGTTCTGGCCCATAGCAACCCTGTATAAGGTTTCCAAGGAGCAGCTGGTGAGCTTGAAGCACTGACCTTGCAGTTCAAATGACTTTGCAGTCTGACACATTAGCCCACAGCGCCACACAAGGACTCCACTATCTATTCTGCATCCGTCATATGTCCTGTACTTTCAGGTCTTGAAGACTGTTTTCCACAGGAGTCAATTCCTGATCAATGGCAAGAACACGGGACTAGGAAATAGGAAATATGGCTCTTGGTCCTGGCTCCACTGATTAGTACTGAGAAACCTTAGGCAAGTCACTCAGGCCCTACATCAGTACCACTGCCTACACAATGGGCAGGAGTCATTTGTCCTAGCTCACTGCATTATTGCAAAATTCAAAAGTTCATCATCTTACAACAATCTGATAAGTTGAAAACACTATAAAATAATAGCAACAGCATTTGGTAAGGACTTACTAAGTGATTTCCATACATCATCGCATTGTCTCCTCCCAGTTACAT